ATTTGCCATTTTTATGTGCTAGAGGTGCATGAACATGCTCCTAGTGGATTTAGAGGAGAGCCAGATAGACAGTGGGGCCTTCTGCCACCACACTTGAAATGAGTACTGTTTTGGAAGCGACTTATTGACACTCTGTGTCCTCGCTACTTCTGAAAACATTTTAGCATACCCATTAGGTAGATTCCTGGAGACTGTTCCAGGAAGTCGGAAATAGCATGCTTACAAATGTTATTTTCTGTCCTGTAAATGTCTCTAGGTACACGCACTAAGGTAGCTCAGTGGCTTGTTCCTGGGGGTGATTCACATGTACTCTCTGTCCCAGACCAGGTTTGTGCTGCAGAACTCGGTGGCAGATTGAGCCTCTCTTGTCCTTCCTCACCCACACTTCACGGGGGCCAGGAGCTTTTTAGCTATTGATTGAATGGCTGGGAGGCCCCGCATGAAGAATGCTTACATGTTAAGAAAACTATGCTTTAAAGGAGGGCGTAGTTATATACTTACCCCCAAAATGCTTGAAATTATTCCATTTCCCTGAAAGTTTCCATAAATGTTGTATAAAATGAGGCAACTCTGATTGTAGTTTCCTTGTGATTTTTATCTCATAGGGAAGGCCTACCCGTTAATAGCACACCTTTCTTCTTAGATATTTGGCCACTGGCCCTGTGTGTGCAGAGGGCTTGCAAGCTTTCAATGAGCGGTTTTTGGTTGGTTTTTTAGGGAACAGTGTGGTTTGTCTCAGCTAACATTCACTAGCATTCAGGTAGCTCAGGTAATCCTGACAGCAGTCCTGTTAGGTGGATGGTACTCTCATGACTGCCTTTTACAGGTGAGGCAGTGCAGGGGCGCACAAGAGTCCTTGTGTGGGAGCTCATGACGGAGCAGTAGCCCCGTGAGTCTGCCCAGGTGGGCAGGCTCCAGAGTCCCTGCTCTTCCTCTCCACTCCTGTATCCCTCAGAGGCCACCATGACCACTGTTTGCCCACCTCACCCATAAAGCCGGTGGTTTTGATTTATTGCAGCTGGATTGTGTATACATGGGTCAGTGTATCTGTGGTAGAAATTTTGGTTGTCAAATGACAAGTTCTAAAAAGGAATTTTCTACATCAGGACTTGCAACAAAGCTTTGGAGAAAATGCCCTCATATGTCACGCTCTTTCCTTATTCTGTGCTCTCAGGGCTGGGTAGCCTTAATTCCTCAGAGTCTCTTGGTTGGTCTGTTTATTAAGGACCAGGGCTCCAGTAACACCTTCCTCATCATGGCAATAAAAATGTCTCCACATGTTCCATATGTCCCTGGGGGGTACAGTCACCCCCAGTTAAGAACTCCTGCCTTGGATAATGTGTAATAAATGCTTGCCAAGTATTTCAAGTTTTTCCTAATTCACCAAGCACTCTTGATGGCCACAAGTGACATGGGTGACAGTCCTGCCCCAGGACGCCCTCCCTGACACGCCACTGGGCCTGTCAGCACACAGAGGCCCTCTGCCCACGTGCTCCCAGTGCCCTGCGTCACTGGCTTTAGGCTTGGGCCTGGGAGCTCTGGTCTCTCTTGGAAGGTTGTGAACAGAAGCTGAGCTCTTTGTCCTCAGGAACAGACACACATTTGAGATAAGCCACGTGAATTACAGAACAAGGATATGGGACATCATTAGCTTTGTAGAAAATTTTTTGCCCAGATAACATTTTCCCTGCTGACTTGCAGTAAGTAAAATCCTCGGAATGTCTTTTGGTAGGAAATACACGGCCTGACCTTCAGTAGCAGTCTGGGTTTGGACTGAGTGTTGGTGTGACTCTCATCTTGGACTCCTCTCCCTCTCTCTCCAGAAAGGACCTCAGTGTGAAATACCCCGAAGACCTGCCCATCACCCTCCCAAATCTGCTGCGGTTCATTCTGCATCACTCAGACCCTGCTTCTGCTCCCCAGGACTTGGCTAACGCTCCCACCAAAGAGTGTCTCCAGAGTGAGGCAGTCTTACAGCAGGGGCACATCTCCCATTTGGAGAGGGAGATCCAGAAACTGAGGGCGGAGATCAGCACCCTTCAGCACGCGCAAGTGCAGGTGGAGGCCCGGCTCTCCAGCGCGCGCAGGGACGAGCACCAGCTGCTGCGGCAGAAGCAGACCCTGGAGCAGCAGCACAGCCTGCTGCAGCTGCACAGCGAGCAGCTGCAGGCCCTGTACGAGCAGAAAACCCAGGAGCTCGAGGAGCTGGCCCGCAGGCTCCAGGAGCTGGCCGACGCCTCGGAAAACCTCCTCACCGAGAACACGTGGCTCAAGATCCTGGTGGCGACCATGGAGCGGAAACTGGAGGGCAAGGCCAGAGCTGAAAACCCCGCTCCCCCGGAAGAGGCGCACTCTGACCGCCCCGAGCCCTCAGGGGCCCCCCGGTTACCTGGCAGCACTCCTCCGCCTTCCAGTGCCAGCTCCGCACTGGCGTCGGACAGGAGCCCTGAGAACAGGACAGACTAACTTTTTAAATGACATGAAGAAATCAGAGGTGAAAACTGTACATTGGGAATATATTTATGCAAATTTTATTGAAATTTATTGTAAATAAAGATTTTCTCAGTGGTCTAGAAAATCAGTTTGAATGTCATTCAGCTTTTATTGAATAGGGACGACATCCCTTCCACTTATTGCACAAACTTGGTAGCTTTGAGACAAAAACAGTAGCACAGTCCACTTGAAGATGTGTCTGAGAAATCAGTCCATGTTTTGGTGGCTCAGTGTCAGAGTGTCTCCCCATGCCCCTCCTTGCTTCTGTGATGACATGTAGGATGAAAGTTTAATTTTGCCTGACTAGTCAGAAAACTTGAATGCAACAGTTGGGCTATTCAGAAAGAATTCAATGAGAGGTCATAACTAAGCCATTTGAGTGTGTGGCTCTGGTGTCTATGCTAAAAAAGTAGCTACTGATAAATAAGAGCAGTGAGACCTATTATGTGGCTCTTCACCAGTTCTACAGGCACCTTCACTCTCCTCCCAGAGACCCCATGAGTGCCCCTCCGTGCCTGTGACCCTCACCCAGGCCTGGCCTGACGCAAGCTGTAAAGATGTCGTCCCCGACAACCGGAGCTGGGATAAGAAACCTCCAGAGAGAAAGGAGAAAGTGACATTTCATCATTTCAAAACCAAAACTTCACTGGCACAGTTAAAACCCTCAGGGCAAGTCTGATAGTCAAGCGATGTCATTTCCGGGCTCAGGCTCAGAGACTGAAGATGCGTGTCCCAGGTGCTCCTTGGTTACCGGGTGGACACAGCTAGGTGAGTGCTGCTGGCTGTGGAAAGTAGAGGTAGAAAGCTTGGAAGTTCTGAAATGCAAGGGGAATGGATCAAAACCCCTACACCTTCCACGTATTTCTTGAGCATCCTTCATTAGAGAGCAAACCCTCTCCTTGATCTTCCAGTTGGCACCTTTGGGACTTCGTCGCCCTTCCTCGCCCATACCCTGTCCTGCCCACTCCAGCCTGCAGGGCCTCTGCTGGTTTGCAGTCTAACTCTCAGGCTTGGCCATCCCATTAGGGGCCAGAGACGTTTCCTCTCCTGTCCTGAAGCCCAGCTGCCTTCTAAGGGCTCCTCAGTAGCCCATCCATGGTACCTCAGTCCTGCCTGCAGCTCAGATTGCCTAACCAGCTCCCCCTCCCGCTCCCCCAAGCTGGCACTTAATGTTCGATCCCCAATTTAGGTGTATGCTGCTAAAATAAGTGTTCCCTAAGCTCCCTCCTTGGGGTTCTAGAGAGCAGATTAGTTCAACATGCTTTTAGAGGACACTTGGATGAGGCCAGAGGAGTGGCCTTCAGCCTGACCAGGAGGCCAGAGCTTTGGGGGTGCTGGTAGCCACCTGGGAGCTCCCTGCCCATGCTGCTGGCACGCAGCTGAAGTGCTCAAGGGCCAGCGCTCCGAGGTTGAGCCAGGGCTGGCTTCCCATTTATCACCAAAGATGCCGACATAAGTCACGTTTTAATCATGACCATTTAGAATGTGCTTACAGTGGTGGGATTAAAAATTGAAGCGAGTTCACTGAAGTATGCACAAAGGTCACTTTGGAGATGCAGGCTATAGGGGCGCTGGCCCCACCGAGAGCCACCAACTCCTCATCTTGGCGAAAACCAAGTCCTGAACTTGAAACTCACTCTCACTCATCGCCACCCCAGTGCCCACTAAGCACGGGCTGTTGGGGAGCCACCTGGGGGCTGCTGTGTGCACGTGCACACAAGAAATGACCTTCCACCACACTCGGTGCTCTTAGAGCGGGGTCAGGGGGCTCCCTCTAGGTGACCACCGAGGAAAGTGAATCCAGCACCCAGCAGGTGGGTGGTAATCTGAGAAGAAAGGAAGCTAATTTGTGAAAAGGGAAGGGGGGAAAAACCCTCAAGTCCCCTGCCCCTGCCCTCCAGTGCAGAAAATATTAAATACAACAACAAATAAAAAACACAATTTTCTCTTTCTTGGGCCAATTGGGTTTCAGATAAAGGTCGCCTCCACGGACTCGTGTTTCTAGCGAAGCCTGCGCTAAGTAATGCCAGGTGGGGGCAGCGGGTGGGGACGGCGACAGGGGAGTGCTCAGCATGCTCAAGACCAAAGGGGCAAGAAACTGCTCTGCCACTAGGACGCCTGGCAGCCATCGGGACTCGTGTCCTGACTCGTCCTTCACCGGCCCCCAGGCGACTGCAGTAGCTTCCTTGCAATAACTCCACCATGAACAGGAACTGGAATTTAACGACTGAATCTACCTAGAGAAAGAGGGGGGCATGGTTCTTCTCTCATCCATTGCTAACCAAGCAGAAATCACCAACGCCCCCCACGGGTCAGCCATGAGACCCAACACTGACGCCTCACGTCCTCTCGTCCTCTCCGTACGCAAGTTATATACATTAGAGACCCCCACCAAGTGCCCCTTGAGCCTTACATGTCCAAGACCCTCCCCCATAGCCATCATTAGTACAGTCAGTCCCATGTGCTCTATACAATATTTTTAAAAATCAGCAAAAAAGGCTTAAGTACGTGCTTCTGGGGCCTATTGACAGTTCACAGGTTTGTGAGTTCACGCGTTACAGTAGTAGCTCCATCAAAAACAGGCTCAGCTAAACATTCAAGTAACAAAAGCGCTACGGGGCCGTCAGCCCCAGCAAGGTCGGGCCTGCCCACTGCCTGCAATGGGCAGCCCCACCAGGAGGCCGAGGGGAGCCCAGGGCCACCGAGGCCCGGCTCAGGACAGCTGGGGCCCCGGGAGTCAGTGCATGCGATGACGAAGCCTGGCGAGGCCATGCCAGCAGTGTCAACCCTTCCTCTCAAATGGCAGCATGTCTGTGGTTCCGCCCCTCCTGCGCCTCTCGGCTGGCTGCAGACGGGCCCGGGAGCCTCCGCATCCCAGCTCAGCCGTGGACTTCTGGACCGTTGGGGGTCAGCTTGGCCTTCCTCTCCACGCACGGTCCCTTGGCCGAGTACTGCACCAGCAGGAATGGCTCCTTGGTCTCCCCATCCCCCACGATGCTCTCCTCGTCCTCCGACTGGCTGATGCGCTGCAGCCGCAGGTAGCACCAGCAGCCCAGGATCAAGGCCCCCAGGGCAGCGATGGCGATGAGGATGACAATGACCGTGACCACGCCCGTGGTGGGGCTGTGGTCCATAATAGACATGGTCAGCGCTTGGGGAGGCTGGCGCCGCACGAAGCTCTTGGGGGCAGCTGGCTCAGAGAGGCTGGAACTCAGGCAGGAGACCAGAGGCCTGAAAGACAAAGTAGGGTGAGGCTACCTCGGGGACTCCAGCGGGGACCCCGCCAGCTCATGAGCCGGGCTCTATTTTTAATAGACCATGGGGTCTATTTTTAATCCGTTCTTAAGCCTGACCGTCCGGCCCTCATCCTAGTGGAAAACATGCTGGTTGGCTTTCGCTGTTTGTTTGTTCATGACATCACCCCCTCTTCGCTCACCCCAACCCCCTTCCATTCACCATCTTTGACACCCTCAGTGCTTCTGCTTCCAGGCAGGCAGTCACCCTCACTCAGCCACGGAGCCTGAGATGCAGGTGAGGGGGGCACCCACGACCTGTGACCTCACTGCAGCAGAGGCTGCAAGAGGGTCTGTTTAAGGTGAATGTTCTGGAAGGCTCAGGGACTGAAAGGAGCCAGTGCTTCACGATGGCCAGAGATGAAGGATTCGATAGCAGGGAAATGACATCAGCCCTCTCACAAACAGGCGACATATATAGCTCAACCAAGTCTTCCGGAACACCTGTGAGCGGGTGCAGCCAACAACAGCCTTTGCCCACAAGGGGACTGCAGCAGCTGGGGAAGAGCCCTGAGCCACCACACACCCTCTGAGAGGGACGCCGGGCAGCAGAGTCCTGGGAGATGGAGGCACTGGGGAGAGCTCTAGGAAGGGCGGGGAGAGCGGGACAGACCAGACCCTGCCCTCACCGAGCTCAGCGCCTGGCACAGGAGCCAGACCACAAAGGATCAGTACACTGAACGCCTGTCACTACAAATGCGGGAATGCGGTGTCAGGAACACAGGGGACCGGGTGCCATGATACTAAACTGGTTGTGGCAGGTGATACTCAGGGAGGCGATGCTGACACTGACACGTGCAGGAAGAGCTAGCCCTCGGGGAAGAGCAGTCCTGGCAGGGGACCTGCATCTGCTGAGGCTCTGAAGGTGGGAGAGGGCCTGCTGGCGAGCGCGAAGAGCTGAGAGCCCCGGCGGCTGGAGCTGGAGCATCAGCCGGCTGGGTGGGAGGCGGGGAGGGGGCGTATGCGGGGGACCACCACTTCCTAGTCTCGTCACCTCAGACAACTCCTTCCACCTCGCTGAGCCTCGAACCCTCCTCTGTTACTGGGGCTAGTGAGGGGCAAAGGAGAGCGTGGCTGCAGGAAGCACAGAAGATACAAAACACCCCGACTCGAGGTCTGACTCTAAGTGACACCCCAAGGCCCAGCCAGTGACACCCACAGAGGCTGGAGGTGCTGAAGCTAGCAGGCTCTCTGGGGTCCCAAGACCCTGTACTTGTTTATTTCTCCTGCCTTGCCGAACACGGAGCAAATAACAGTAACTAACACCCAGGTGGTTACAAGGCTGAGGAAGAGCCTGCGACACCTCGGGCGTGGGGCGGCATGAAGTGGAAGTCGACGCTCAGGAAGAGCTAGCTGTGGGAATTCATTTTTGTGAGAAGACTGACATCGGCATAGGTGGACAGCGCTGGAAAGGGAAGGTTTTCCCTCCAAACAGGACGGAGCCCCTCATCCTTGAGCAATAACTGCCTTAAGCGGAAATGATTCTTAGCCACACCAGGGAGTCTCCCCACCTCACCCAAGGCCAGGTTGGCCTGAAGGTTGGTCAAAGGCAGCCAAGTTGAAGCCCCTGGAGTCTGTCCAGGGAGCAGGCCCTGGGAAAACGCTGCAGACCCTGGAGCATGGCCCTGCAACCATACCCACGTTTGCAGAGGGGTCCTGGGCAGAAGGGGGCAATATCCCTGGAGTCTGCCCGCTTCTGACCGAGGTACCTCCAGGGTCCAGCCGCTGCCAGCACTCTCAACAGGCCTCCTGGTCCACCCGTGCAAGCCCACTGCAGCCAGCGCCCTGACACTCAGAGGAAAGGTGCCAAGTCCTCAGAGTGACCTAGAGGACCGGACACAATGCATCCCCACCCCTGCTCCCAGCCGTAATGACCCCTCCTGCCTCCAGGCCTCTGCCCAAGTGCTCTGCTCCCCTGACCCTTATTCCGTGGTCCTCAACTGGGGGTGACTGTGCCCTTCAGGGGACATCTGGCAACGTACGGAGACATTTGTGGTTGTCACAACTGGCGGTGGGGGTGTTAACTGGTATCGAGTGGGTAGAGGCCAGGGATGCTGCTCAACGTCCCTCAGTGCACGGGCGGCCCCACAACAAACATCTGGCCGCAAATATCAGTAGTGTGGACGGTGAGAGACGCTGGCCTAGTTAACTCGAGTTCAGGCAGGGAAGCCTTCCTGACCCGCAGTCCAGGAGGGTCTCTGCGTCCCGCGACTGCCCTGCTCCCTCCCGCTGGGCACTGGCCTCAGTTTGCAACACTGGTTTCTGTAGCAGGACCATCTGGTTAGTACCCACCTCTCCCATCGGACTGTGCGCTCCATGAGTGGCCTTGCACACTTCTGTGCCCCCAAGTGCACAGATCATCCTGGCCTCTCCTCTGCCACCATCAGGGCTGCTATCAGCTCCCACAACCCCGCTCAGCCTGTCCTCTCAGGCCTCCAGACGGGACAAGTGACCCCCGAGCTCCAGAGAGCCTGCCGGCTGCAGCTGGGTGAAGCTGTCCCAACCTCTGTGCTAACTTCCTGCTGAGACACCACCTACCCGCCTTGTCCCTCGCTCTCCCCACCTGGACCTCTGGTGTCCAGTGCCTGCTGGGGCGCCTGCCCTCCCACCAGGCTCCTGGACAGGAAGGCCAGTCTGGATCAATTTGGAAGGGCAAGTGTGTGTCTGTTTGGGGAGTGGGGGTGGTTCAGAGGCAGGAAGTGGGAGATCAAACAACAGCAGCAAGACTGGGGAGGGGGGGACCCCAGGAGGTGCCCACGAGTCCAGGGGGAAGCCAGCGGTCCCAGGGCTAATGTGGAAACTGAGGCAGAAGCAGCCCCAGCTCAAAAAGACCCTCTGAGAGGAGTGGTGACCTCAAAACCCTGTCTGCTGCCCCACCCCCAGGCCGGGAGGGGTGGGCAGAGCCAGGTGACCAGGCCATACTCATGCCTGGTCCCCGGTCCTCCCCTGAACGCACATGTGTGTTCGTTCACTCACTCAGCAAGTATTTCCTGAGAACTGATCTTTTAAAATCTCTGATCACGTCCTCCCCTGCTCAGAACCATCCCCGGCATCAGCAGAGAATCCAAATTCCCTGCCTCCTCGGGCTTCTTTACACCCTCCCCGCCTCCCACCTCAAGGCTTCTGCACTTTCTGTTCCTTCTGCCTGCCTGGAATGTTCTTCCCTGACTGTCCTATGACTGGCTGCTTCCTATTATTCGGGACTTTCTCAGAAGGAGCCTCTTGGGGGATGCCTTTCCAGACCACCCTGGCTGCAGATGCCCCCCCGCCCCCCGTGCTCTTTGCTACCTGGAATTGTCTTGCGTCAGGCAATGTGTTTCCCTGGCTGCTGTCTCCTCCCTGAGCGGACTCGGAGCCTGTAAGAGGAGGGCACCGTCCATCTTGCCCACTGCTGGCTCCCCAGCCCTACGATCGGCACACAGCAGGTGCTCCATCAGTGTCTGCTGAGGGTTCCGAGCCCCGGGATAGAGTGATGAGTTAGAAGAGACCATGATCACGCTTGGTGCCCTGCCATCCTCAGCCAACTCCCTAACCTCAAAGCCACTTCCGGGACCATGGGCATGGGTCCCGTGCCTGTCCCAACAGACTCAAGGAAGCTGGCAGCCTGCGTGGGAGGACAGGCCGCAGGTGCAGGAGCAACACGTGCAAGTGGATCCTGGGCAGGCCTGAGCCCACGGAGGGGCAGCTGTCTCCACGCGTGCTGTGGGGGAGAGGAGGAGGCCACCGCGAAACAGAGCCCACAGGAAACCTGAAGCATGAGGGCGGCTGGCCCGTTCCCCCTGGACCCCCTTGGCTTGGGCTGGATGCCAACCGCTTGCTTTGCCTCTCCTGGGCCTCCCTCACGCCCCTCTGAGCCCAGGTGGCTCCTGCAAGTCAGCTGACCCCTCCCCCGGTCCAGAAAAGCCCAGAGGGTGGGACAGGGAGGGCCGCAGCTTGGGCTAGGTGGACGCCCAGGGCGGCACATGGGACGCCTGGACCCCTCAGAACCATCAGGGAAGTAGTTAACGTTGATTCCATATAGTCAGTTAATCCTCAACAACCCCTCGGCTAATGCTAGTCACTGTGACCACCCCCATTTTACAGATGAGCAAAGTGAGGCACAGAGAGTTTGAGTGGATTGCCCAAGAATAAACAGATAGAAAGCAGAAGTGCGGCCCAGCAAAGGGAGGGGTCTTCCAAGTGTCGAGGGCGGGGCCCTCGCACAGCCGGGGGCCTGCGGTCTCTGGGCATCCTGGGGGTGGGTGACGGACCATTCTCCCCCACCACCTCTGTGGCATCTCCTTGCCAGCTCCCTCAGTCAGGACAAAGGCTGGCACTGGAAGCCCAAGGCCACTTGGATCCCCCCATACATACAGGGCCGATCCTTCACCCTCCCTACACCCTCCTGCACTGAGGGCCCTCAGTCTTGCCTTGCTCGGATCTCACCCACCGCTCCTGGAGAAACAAGCTCTAAAGGCCAGCCTCGCCCGTGAAGAGGCCACCCTCTGAGACCCCCACCCGCTGCCCCCTCTGCCCACCAGTGGGCTCAAAAGGACAGTCCCCACCTCAGCCACCAGTGAGCTGAGGGCGGGCATCTCCCACTGTCCCGCTGTCCCTCAGAGGCCCCCAGCTTAGCTCTTCCCCAATGTCAGGCGGCGTTCCAGTTACTCCTGCCTCTTCATGGGACCCCAAACTAAGCTTTAACCCCACTTCACAGGCCACTGCATACGCTCAAGGCCCAAGGAGGCCACAGCCAACAGCAGCGCAGATCTGAGTCCCCTCCTTCGGCCCACCCCACCCCTCCACTCGCTACTGTGAGCTGTTTTGACCCAGCCAAGCAAGCTGCTCCCAATGGCCTCGATTGCTCAGTGTGCAAAATGGGAATGAGGCCCTGACTTCCCCAGCCAGGCTGTGGGGAGGATGAGAAGAGATAAGGAATGTGGAAACGGAAGGGCCATGGGCCACCGGGTCTGCATGTCACCAAGCACCACGGCTTCC